TGGTGTTGGCTATGGGCTTGCTGAAAACTGCCTCTATTATGTTGAGATATGTACTTTGTATCCCTAATTATTCCATGACTTTTAACAAGAAGGAGTGTTGGATTTTATCAATGATATTTTTCTGCATTTAATAAGATTATCATGTGATTTTTATCTTTCAGTTTGCTTATATGGTGATTTACATTTATCAGTTTAACTATGTTGAACTATCCCTGCATCTCTGGGATGAAGCCTACTTGATTATAATAAGTTATCTTTTTATGTAATATTGGATTCAGTTTGTAAGTATTTTTACATCTAAATTCACAGGGGGAATTGGTCTATAATTCTCTCTCTTTGTTGGATTTAAGTGGTTGGAGTATGAGGGAAATTGTGGCCTCATAAAACAAATTGGGCAATGTGTCTTCTATTTCTAGTTTGTGTAATGGTTTGAAGACTGTTGGTATTAACTCTCCTTTGAAAGTCTGATAGAATTCTGCACTAAAATAATCTGGCCCTGGGCTCTTTTTTGGTTGGGAGACTTTTAATTACTGCTTCTATTGCACTAGACCTTTAATTACTGCTTCTATTCTACTAGAGGTATAGACTTGTTTAAATTGCTTATCTGATCTTGATTTAACATTGGCAAGTGGTTTGTATCAAGAAATTATCCATTTCTTTTACATTTTCCAGTTTGGTAGAGTACAGGTTTTTGAAGAATGCCCTTAGGATTCTCTGAATTGCCTCTGTGTCTATTATTGTGTCCCCATTTTCATTTCTAATTTTGTTAATTTTAATACTCTTCCTCTGACTTTTAGTTAACTTGGATAAAGGTTTGTCAACCTTGTTGATTTTCTCAAAAAACCAACTCTTAAGTTTCATTTGTCCTTTGTATAATTTGTTTGTTTGTTTCTATTTTATTGATTTCATCCCTGAGTTTATTTCTTACCATTTACTCTCTTTGAGTGCCATTTCTTCTGAACAACTCATTACAAAATAAAACAAATGTGTAAAGACAAAAATTAAAACCCTTTTAGAATTGAATGAAAATGAATACAAAATATATCCAAACTTTTGGGATGCAATGACAATGGTTCTAAGTGACAAATTCATAGCACTAAGTACTTCTATAAAAAAAAAAAAAAAAAAAAAAAACGTGAAGAGATCTCAAACTAGTAACGTAACAGCACACCTGAAAACTCTAATTGGAAGACTTTTGACCCTCCTTTTATCCAAGTTGGTGTTCTTCATTAAAGCTAAGCTGTGTTTCTTGCAGATAACAGATAGATAGGTTTGGTTCTTGAACTGTTCAGTTAGCTTGTGTCTTTTGATTGGGCAGTAGTGGCCATTGATATATATATCCTATCAAAGGGAGCAGCTGCTCTTTCCCTACAGTTAAATCTTTATTATTTTCTGCTTTTCTTGTTATGGCTGCTGTCTTCTGTTCCTCTACATTGTATTTCTCCTCTTTTTCCCTCTGGCATTTGCAACCCTTTCAATTTGGAATCACCCTGAGAGCTTCCTGTGTGTGTGCGTGTGCATGTGTGTGTGTGTGTGTGTGTGTGTGTGTGTGTGTGTGTGTGTGTGTGTATGCTTTGCACCATTTTGGCCATTGATATTTAAAGTTATTATTGAAATACATGTGCATTATTGAGGTCAATGTTTGGTTGATTTTTATTGCCATTGTTTGAGTTCTTGTGGCACTTTGTGATTTAATAATTGTGGCTTCATATTACTTTCTTCAACCAAAGAATGTTTTATTTTCTAACAGATATAGATTATTGCAGAAAGCCACAACTTGTCAAAATGCAGAAAACAATTGACTGGTGTGTTCCCAGGCAGAATTGATATATGTACAAACTAAACCCTATACCAAAGGCTCTAGGAACATTATGGAAAATGGAGTTGAAAGATTATAAGGTCCAGAAGACCTTGGCATCTCGGGGAAAATATTTTCTATGACAGGAAAGCTATACCCATGAAATCTCTACATTATGACTGCCTAAAGAAGACCTGGAAAATGGCAATATCAACTGGTATGCCAGTGTAAACAAGGAAATCTCACATTACTCCATGCTTAAAGATCTATAGATAAATAGTGATGGCAGAAAGAGGGAGAATCATTCTTTTCCAGGAATAAGTTTCCAGTTTGGTAGTTCCATACCAAGTGGTCAGCCATAAAAACATATAAATATAAGCAACAGTCAGTAGGTTGTGTTTGCATATATATGCATATATATGTATGTATATGTATGCAAATATATATTTGTAATAATAAAAATTAAAAGAAAAGCTATCAGGAGTTTGAGATGGAGTACAGTGGGGAAACTATAGACATTTGAATGGGGAGACGATGGGGTGGTAATGATGCAAATTCTGTACTCTGTTAGTAATTTTCAAAAAACTAAAAAAATATTTGAGTGAAAGCAACATATCTCAAATTCAGAAAATACTCCCCATGACACCATAGCCAATCAATCTTTTCATGTTTCCAATACTATCAAAAGAGCTTGATACATTCACTGTGACTTTTCTTTCTCCTTTCTATTTCCATATATCCTCCAAATTATAATTTTATTCCTGTAAGACCAGCAAAGATGAAAATAACATCCAGTCCCTGATAACTGTTACAGACTTTGACAATAATCTACATACCACATTCTTTATGTTATTCAAGCTCTATGTTTTTATTTGTTTTATAAAACAAGTAAACAACAATTTCTATATATTAACTACATGAAATTTTAATTAATATGTTCAATAATTCATAAATAAAGGATTGCAGCTTGTTCTCTATAGTATCTGTGCCAACAAAAATTAAGATTTTTGTTATTTTTAATTGTTTTGCCTTAGATAAGAATGATTTCAACACCTTATCCTGTTGCCTCTACCATATGCCAGGGTTATGGGCTTGTGCCACCACACCTGGTTTTCCATAGCTCCTTAATCAGAGAGTTAACTTTGTTTATTTTTGTGTTTAATTATAAATAAGATGTAAAATTAGACTTCATCCTGTTTAAAACTAATATGAAATCTGCATCACAGCTTTTGATTTGCCTTGAAGGAAATGTCAATAAATAAATTTCTTGCACTGCACACATTCTGGCCCCTGAAATGATATATTCAGCTAAGCCAGAGGGGTGGTGCCCAAACGAAGACATTTTAATTTAATGTCTTGATATTTTGAAATGGTCATTTTTGGGTTTAAAGAAAGGTCCCAAGCTAGATAATAGAGTTCTGTGATACATAATATGTCTCAGCTCTAAGTGACAGTGGATATTCACATATACAAATAACACTTGGATAGAGAGTAAATTACACAAAATAAATATTTTATTTAACCATGTGCATATGGTTGGTCAGAACTTCTTTGATATTTAAAGCTTTACAGTGTACTAATGGTGGGTGTCTGTGTGTGTGTGTGTATGGGCACACACATGTTGGATTTGTGAGATCAAGCCTAGTGGCAATGCTTGTTTCTAAGACTCAGCCAACTCTGATCTTTGTCTTGCTGGGACTTGATAGCCATTGTCACAACCATAGCAACATTTCCTACAGTTCAAATCTAAACAAATCTGTGGAAAGATAAGGAATTCATTTAGGTCTATAACAAATTCATTCCCATCTCTACTCAACCAGTGTCTTTTGCTACATGTTATCAGAAAGAGTCCAGGCTAGTCCAAGCCATTGTGATCACTCAGATTAACTGGTGAAACATAGTTGAATTGTTGTTTTTGCATCTGTTCAACCTGTCTCAGCCACCAACACGATTTCCAGAGTAGTAGTTTGAACACACAAATCAAATTATGTCATTCTACCTTTCAGAAACTTACAAAGGGCCTCACGCTGCTCCCTGTACTCTTTGGACTTGGTTCTACTCCCAGTCTCTTACTGGTTCTGAAGGTGGCCAGTCATGATCTGACTTTGGGCCTTTTGTAGGGTTTATTTAACCTTAATCCCCTCACCTCTTTTCTTATTTAACTATCCTCCTCAGTCATATTCCCATCTTTCTCTTACATAAGGCATATCTTGACCATGCTGACTGTATTGTTTAATACTGGAACATGTAAGCCTCTTTCTATACAAGTTCTTTCTTACCACCATTAGCCTAATGTATTTTAACACAGCAATTATTAGCTACTACTATGCTACATATATTTTTTTTATGTGTATGGTAGCTATTTGTCACTGTGCATCTACCCTTACTTTTATGTACATTTCATGAAGGGAGGAAATCCAGCTTTTATTCAAGGCTAGTCCAATAGGCAGGCTTCCTAAAAAAAGTGTGTATTGTTAGTAATTGCTGTTTCATTTGCATTCATACTAATGGTGTATGGGTTTAAGCTTTTTCCCTATATTCTTAGCAGTGATTGCAATTTTTTTCATTTTCTTTATTAAGAAATTTTCTACTCACTCCACATACTATCCACAGATCCCCACTCCTCCCTCCTCCCACACAACCATAGCAACATTTCCTACAGTTCAAGTCTAACAAACCAGCCCTCTATCTCAAGCTACCCTGCATCCCCACATCCCCCAAATCAAGATCTCCCATGGGGAGTCTGCAGAGCCTGGTACACTGAGCCTAGGCAGGTTCAAGTCCCTTCCCACTGCACCAAGGCTGTGCAAGGTGTCACACCACAGGCACCGGATTCCCAGAAGCCTGCCCATGTACCAGGAACAGATCCCAATCCCCCTGCCTGGGTGCCCCCAAACAGTTCGAGTCAAACAACTGTCTTATGTATCCAGAGGGCTTAGTCCAGTCCTATGGGGGCTCCACAGCCACCAGTGCACAGTTCATGGGCTTCCACTAGTGTGGCCGGTCATCTCTGCACATCCTCTCATCATGATTTCGGCGTCCCTTGCCTGCAGAATCCCTCCTCTCTATCATCAATTGGATTCCCAGAGCTCAACCTGGTGCCTGGCCGTGGATCTCTGCATCTGCCTCCATCAGTCACCGGACAAAGGCTCTATTATGACAGCTAGGTTATTTGCCACAACTCCACAGAGGCTAGCTAACAGGGAAAGACCCTAGGAGGGACTCATGGATGATCCTGCAAAGAAGTGAATGAGATCTGCAGGAGTGAACTGGGTGTGTGTGTGGGCAGGGGTGGCAGAGGGCGAGGAGTAGGGGATGAGAACATAGGGAAATGGGAGGGTCAAGCTGGAACAGGGACAGAGTAGGAGGGCATGGAGGAAGATGCCATGATAGATGAGGATATCATGGGAATAGGAAGAGGCAGGGTGCCTGGAGGCTCTCAGGAATTCACAAAGATGACACCATTTTGAAGTGCTGGCAGTGGTCCAGATGGTCAATTTTTAACTTCTTGGATGATAGTTATTCTTGACAGGGTCAAGTTGCATCTAGATGTGGCTTTGATTTATGTGAGTACTAATTATATTGAGGACTTTTCAGATCTGGAAATTTGTGTGTCTTCTGTTGAGAAACGAATACTCAGATCTTCAAATTATTTTAATTGAATTATTTAAATTTTAATTTTGTCTTATTGAATTTCTTGAGTTTCTTAAGTAGTCCAGGTATTGGATCTTTGTCAGACATGGTTTGCAAATATTTTCTCTATTCTAATATATGTACTACTGAAGCAAGCACTTTCTCATATTCTAAAGATTATATCTCTCTTTTCTTGTTTTATTAGTTCTTTGAGAATTCCCTGTGTGTTTTGCTCATATTAGCCTTTGTCTCCAACTCCTCCCATATATACAATCTCTTCCCTACCTACCCTACTTCGAGTCTTGTGGTGATATTTTGTTTGTGCTCTAATAAATAAAGCTTGCTTGGAGATCAGAGTGAGGAGTTAGCCATTAGCAACCACAGAGGTTAACTCACACCATAACCTGCATTGGTGGCACATGCATTTAATCACAGCACTTGGGAGGAGGAAGCAGGAAGATCAGGAGTTCAAGGCCACCTGGTCTACACAAGATTGACCAGTCTAAAAGAGAAACAGAGCCAGGTGGTGGAGGCTCACACCTTAAATCCCAGCATTAGGGAGGATAATGCCTTTGATCCCAGAACATGGGAATCTCATATCTTTAATCCCAGCACTAGGGAGATCGAGAGAGTAATATAAGGTAGGAAGAGAAAGGAGCTCAGTCCCTTTTCATTCTGAGAAGTTGTGGAGGTAAGAGATGACTTTGACTGGTTCCTTTACTTCTCTGATATTTCAGCATTTACCCCTGTATCTGACTCTGGGTTTTTACTATTAAGACGAATTAGAATTCATGCTACACTGTCCTTTCATTTTTCTTCCTCATCAAGTACAATTGGTGCAACTCATATGCTCTTAGATATGTGGTCTTCTAGTAAAGTGTGGTCAACTCATCAGGAGCCATATCCTTAAAGTAAGCTGACTCTTTCTATACCAGCATCTATAAATTGCCAATAGCTCCTCAAGTATGGGATGGACTTTGTGCCCACCTCCCAATTCCATGCTGGAATTTTTGTCTGGCTTGAGCTTGTAAAGGTCTTGTGCATGCTGTTCTAACTGGTATGAATTTATATGTGATTGGAAAACAGTTTTCTTAACGCTGTCTACTGTCTTTGGTTCTTACAGTCTTTTTGTTTGTTTGTTTGTTTTTGTTTTTGTTTATCGAGAGACAGGGTTTCTCTGTGTAGCTTTGCGCCTTTCCTGAAGCTCAATTGGTAGCCCAGGCTGCCCTCGAACTCACAGAGATCTGCCTGGCTCTGCCTCCCGAGTACTTGGATTAAAGGCTTGCACCACCACCACCCGGCTGGTTCTTATAGTCTTTCTACATCCACATTAATCTCTGAGCCTTGGGAAGAAGGGATAAAATATAAATGTTACATTTAACAATTCTCTGCACCTTGAGCAGATGTGGGTCTCTGTGTCATCAATAGCGAAAAGAAGTTTCTCTGATGAGGGCTAGGAGATACACTAATGTATGGGAATAATCATAAATCATTAGGCATTAGTTTAATAATCATAGTAGGTTCTCACCTAGGGCCTATGATTTGTCTAGCTACAGGTTCTTGACCATGGTATCAATGCCAGTTACGGATTCTAACTTGTGGAATGGCCCTTAAATCCAATTAGATTGTGGTTGGTTAGTCCCTTGATATCCCTACCACTATTGTACCAGTGGGCAAGACTTCCTAGAGCAGTCATTACTGAAGGATGCAAGGTCTATATCCAGATAAGAGTGATTTTCCCTCATAGAAGCATGCATATTACCTTGCAGTACTATGGCTGCTAGGTAGAAGGGATAAAGCTTCCAGGTCAGTACCAGCTTGATGTTTTTCATATACTATGAGTCAAATATGGGGTATCTTCAACAGTAGGATCTTTCTCTCAAGTACTGGAGCAATGGCACAAGTCTTTAATGTTTCTGAATTTGAGAACTCACTGGCCAACAATTCCAAAACAGATAACCAATTTCTGGCTTTGGACTTTGTATTTGTTAATCTGTCATGTCTACTAGTGACATTGTTGCCCCATATAGTGTAACTGCATTAAAATTATATATATATGTGTGTGTGTGTGTGTGTGTGTGTGTGTGTGTGTGTGTGCGCGCGCACGCGCGCACGCGCGCGCGCATGCATTTTAGGAAATTTCTACAGTAATACGTTTCCATATGACTTTTTTAAAAAAGTCTCCAGTTTTAATTATTCCTTTCTATATTCCCTCCTTTACTCTTTCTTCTTGTCCCTTAGCCTATTTAACCTTTCCTGTTCCATTACCCCTTATAATCCTATATCCTACAGTGTCCTATTCTCCCTCCCTTGGAATCCTCTCCAACATAGCTCTTTACTAATTTCCAGACCTCTAAGGGCATCGCAAATGGGTATTCATTTTTAGCAGTACAATTTATTGAAACTATCACTCTTCTCTCTCTCTCTCTCTCTCTCTCTCTCTCTCTCTCTCTCTCTCTCTCT